AATGTGTGGTAGAAATAAGTACACAATGAAGTATTGTGGGAGACATACTGGTGAGATGATACCTTAGCTGAGATTTAATGAATGGTAGGAATTCTAGGGGCAGATTGAGAAGGGAAAGCATACCAAACTGGAAAAAACTTCCTAGAGGAGGTGAAACCATAGCTGAATCTGAGAAAGGCAGTACGAGTTATGAGATAAGGAACAGGTTGGGAAGGGAAAGCAACCAAGCAGAGTGGATAGCACTGAAAAGTCTTAAAAGTGAGAGAAAGCATAACTTTCTGGAAAATGCCAGTAGTTTGGGTTGCTATGGAATGTTGAGGAAGGGTGTGACAGGAGATAAAACTGGTGGAGTGGTGGGAAATAAAACAGGGCCAGATTGTGGAAACCCTTGTTTGGACTTTACTCTGAGTCATTGTGGTAATAAGGAGAATGGATAAGAGGGTGTGTTAGTGAAATCGCTCAGTCCGACTCTTTGCGACCCTGTGGACTGTAGCCTACCAGGCTCCTCCATCCATGGGATTCTCCAGGCAAGAGTACTGGAGTGGGTTGCCATTTCCTTCTCCAAGTGAAGAGGTTATTGCAGTAATCTAGGCAGTCATGATGGCTGAATTTTTATAAATCAGGATGAAGACAAGGGGCATCCATTTATGATACACAGAATAGAGCCTATGGATTTTGATGACTGATGAGATTAGTAAGAAGACAGTTTAGTTAATGTTTATGGAATCCTAGCTATGTTTCAGAACTGAGCCAGTCAAGCACTTCTACATGTACTTCCTCACGTATTCTTTCTACAGCCCTTTGGATTTTATGCTGTTGTTCCTGTTTTACAAATAAGGAAGCTGAGTTCAAAAAGTTTGGTAACACTCAGACACAGAGACTCCCAATCTATTTGACTTCTTGGAAGAATAATGCTGTTAACCAGTATACTGTACTGCCCAACAGTTTCCATGTTCCTGTCTTTTTTTTCTAACTTTGATTGGAGTGTGGCTGCTTTACAATGTTGTGTTAGTTTCTGCTATACAGCAGAGTGAGTCAGCTGTATGTATACATAGATCCCCTCTTTTTTAGATTTGCTTCCCATTTAGATCTCCACAGAGCATTGAATAGAGTTCCCTGTGCTATACAATAGGTGCTCATTAGTTATCTATTTTATATATCAGTTTATACATCAGCTCAGTCGTGTCCGACTCTTTGTGAGCCTGTGGACCGCAGTACACAGGGCTTCCCTGTCCATTGCTAACTCCTGGAGCTTGCTCAAACTCATGTCCGTTGAGTCAGTGATGCCATCCAACCATCTCATCTTCTGTCGTCCCCTTCTCCTGCCTTCAATCTTTCCCAGCATCACGGTCTTTTCAGATGAGTCAGTTCTTCACATCAAGTGGCCAAAGTATTGGAGTTTCAGCTTCAGCATCAGTCCTTCCAATGAATATTTAGGACTGATTTGCTTTAGGATGGACTGGTTTGATCTCCTTGCAGTCCAAGGGACTCTCAAGAGTTTCCTCCAGCACCACAGTTCAAAAGCATCAGTTCTTCAGTGCTCAGCTTTCTTTATAGTCCAACTCTCACATCCATACATGACCACTGGAAAAACCAAAGCTTTGGCTAGACTGACCTTTGTTGGCAAAGTAATGTCTCTGCTTTTTAATATGCTGTCTAGGTTGGTCATAACTTTTCTTCCAAGGAACAAGTGTCTTTTAATTTCATGGCTGCAATCACCATCTGCAGTGATTTTGGAGCCATAAAAAATAAAAGTCTCACTGTTTCCATTGTTTCTCCATCTATTTGCCATGAAGTGGTGGGACCAGATTCCATGATCCTAGTTTTCTGATTGTTGAGCTTTAAGCCTACTTTTTCACTCTCCTCTTTTTCATTAAGAGGTTCTTTAGTTCTTCACTTTCTGCCATAAATGTGGTGTCATCTGCATATCCGAGTTTATTGATACTTCTCCTAGCAATCTTGATTCCAGCTTGTGCTTCATCCAGCCCAGTATTTCTCATGATGTACTCTGCATATAAGTTAAAGAAGCAGGTTAACAATATACAGCCTATGTATTTTATACATAGTAGTGTATGTATGTGAATCCCAATCTCCAAATTCATCCCATCCCCCCTCCTGCCCACCCCTGGTATTCATAAGTTTATTCTCTACATCTGTGTCTCTATTTCTGCTTTGCAGATAAGTTCTTCTGTATGATTTTTCTAGACTCCACATATAAATAATATTGTATGATACTTGCTTTTCTGACTTCACTCTGTATTACAGTCTCTAGGTCTGTCCGTGTCTCTTCAAATGGCACTGTTCTGTTCCTTTTTATGGCTGAGTAATATTTCATTGTATGTATGTTATATTTTTTTTATCCAGTCCTCTATTGATGGACATAGAGGTTGTGTCCATGTCCTGGCTGTTGTAAATAGTGCTCCAGTGAGTATTGGGGTGCAGGTTACCGTCTTGATTACCTCAAGTGATTGCTAACAGTGTTGTAAGTGCTGTATTACTGAAACAGTGAGGGTGGGGTCTGGAGGAGCAGTGTTAGGGAAAATGATGACTTCTGTTTTGGACATTTCCTTTGGGACATCTAGTTGATGTTTAGGTGGGAGCTTGATCTAAAATTCTGAATTCCAGAAGGATGGCCTGAGCTGGATACACTGCTCTGGGAATTGTTAGTCTGTAGGTGATTGTGGTGGTATCACTCAGCGAGTGGACTGAATAGTAATATGATAATAGTAGTTGACAGCTTTGGAGTGAACATGACCACCTAAAGAATGGTATATATACATCATAGAGCATAAGACAAGGTATGTCTTTTGATCCCTTCAATTCTAAACATTCTTTCTCATGACATCTCAAATTTCAGTCCACCCGTACCAAAAACAAAAAACTAGGTACTGTTTTCCTATATTTGATTAGTGGTGGAATGAGATTAGCTTTAATGCTGGCTGTTTTGTCCTTTCTCGTTCTGCGTAAGTTAAACAGCAGAACGATAGCTTGTTTAGAATTAAAAACTTATAAGTACAAATGAAAAATGGAAAAGAAGAAACCAAAATCCCATGAAGCTGTATTATTAAGCTATAAAGACAGGTTCACCAACCCTGGCAGCCTTTGGAGACACTTGTACTGTATTACCATGTTAACAGTGTCCTCAATCTGTAGCATCCATTATGTATGAAGGAACATGTTTTTTTTCTTTTTTAATTAATTAATTCTTTTTAGGAACATGTTTTATATCAGAATGAGTGGTATCTGTTAATGGAAGGTAACTTGGGAGTTTATTGCATTCACTGCCTTTCTCTGTGGTGTTTACAAAGTGTGATGTATTATATGTTAGTCTGTCCCTGGATAGTACCCAGAACAAACAGGGCAGCAATTGGGATACTCTGATCATGCTGTAACGTAAGGGAGAGTTATGGATGCTTCTAGTCTGCTCCATAGTCTGTTCATTTTTAGTAAGGATTCGGAGGCTCCTGCTGCTTCTCCAGGCCAGGGAATGGAAAGGTTTATTTGGTTCACATTCTCATCTTTCTCTTTGATTAGCTTTTAAACAACATGCTTTGGCAAATCACTGGCCTCCGAGAGATCAGAGCCTGTACACAGAAAAGAGTGGGCAGGGATGATCTTGTCTTTCTTAGTTTATCTTGTGAGTTGCTTCTCTCTTGCACAGGGAAGACAATGTGTTAAATTGAGGTATTCTGTCATGTTGTCATCTTTGAAGGAATTGTGATTCTGTTGTCGTTTTAGGTGGCTTCAAGGGAGTTGAGTTCATTCGTCTTCAGTTACCTGACCAGATTAATGCTTTGAAATGAAATCTTTCCGAGTCTTTGGTTCAAATTTCACCTGACTGATTTTTACAAGATCACTTACAATCTCAGCCACTTTATATTGATGTATATTGGTAACGTTAACACTTACTTATATGTGTTTGTGGACAACTTTCAGAACCCTTGTCCCTCTGGAGTTCTGGGATTCTATACTTCAGGTTCATTGACTTCATAAATATTTATTGAATACTTGGTAACCTGCCAGGTAGTGGTCTAGATGATAGAGCATAAACTTGTTTAGGAAACAAACCAGAAAAGGTCCCTCCTCTCTTGAGAAGAAAGGATCTTCCTTTCTTTAGTATATTAGACATTGAACGAGGCTAGTTCAGTAAATTGGTATTTGTGAAAAATCTATAACAAGCTCTTCTGGATATGTCTTGTTTTCCTTCTCTACTGCATATCTAGATCCCGCCCAACCTTCTTTGAAGCCTGGCTCAAATTGGCAGCTTCTCCCTGATAGCCTTATCTGATGACCCTTCCAGCTGATATATTCTTCTCTTCTCTGAAATCCTATGTTATTTTGCCTGCAACTTAAGTCACCTTAAATTTTTTTCTGTTTGTTTTTAATAGGTTTAGTGCACATGTAAAGTGTTAGACTATAAGTTATTGTGGGTAGGATAAATACCCTGTTCATCTTGGCCTTGGGCATTCTGCATGCAGGCAGCAGGATGTTGTAGGAAAAAACACTGAACTTAGAGCCAGAAGACTTGAATTTGAGTACTGGCTTCCCAACTAACTTTGTGACTACAGGCAAGTCATTTAACTTCATTGAAATTGTTTCCTATCTTTAAGAATATAGTAATTATCTTTCCATTTATAAGTAGTTGTTGAGAAGCTTGATAAACTGAGAGAATATATGTGACTGTTCCTTGTAAATTCTAAATTCTTACACAGATACTTAGTTGATGACATCATAGTAAATATTCAGTAAGTATTTGGATGAGTAAGTATTTGCTCTCAGTTAACACTGTCTCCTGGGTAGTTCTTTTGCTTAGTGAGGTCTGTATGCTTCTGCAAATAGACTAGACTATCTTCCGTCTTATTTTACTGTAAAATGTTTCTGTTCCTCAGAATTGGCATCTTCTTCATCTCCAGGGCATTCTTTTTTCTTTTTCCTTCCTAGGTTCTGTGTCATACTAAAACAACAAATAACATTTGATCTGTTTCAGCAGGTGGTACATTATGGCTGACATGCAAAATCTGGTAGAAAGATTGGAGAGAGCGGTGGGCCGCCTGGAGGCAGTCTCGCATGCATCTGACACACACTGTGGGTATGGAGACAGTGCTGCAAAAGGTAAGCAGTATACACGCCAGTAGAATGCGTTGAGTGAAACTTGGCGTCCTGGCCTGAAAATTTTCTATCTTGGTGTAGTCTCTCCTTTGGAGCTAACTTCCTGAAACATTTAGAAAGTTCATCGCCTTTAAGATAAGGGAGGAAGTGACTTGTATGCAGGGAGGCCTGTGGTTAAGTTATTTTAACACGAGAACTTCCTGCTTGTATGCTATTTCCTGTTCTTTCTTTAGCAGAATGACTCTAGTATAAGTCAAATGACAAGTGATATTAAAATTTCCTCTCCAAATTATTGGCAGATTGACCATTTTGCACATACCAGTTGAATTATAGAATGTTAGGAACTTCATTGGGGGGTAATTTTGTTTATTTTCATTCTGTTGATTAAAGAAATCAAGCTCAGTTAGGAACGGGGACTTAGCTAGGATCACACAAGAAGTTAATGGTAATTCTGGAGCTAGAATGCAAGCTCCTGACTCATAATCCAGCCTTCTGTTTACTGTGTTACCTTGCCTCTCCCCTTTCATATGGAAGTGCCTTTAACAAACCCTCTTTCTCATGTGTGACCATTCTTGGTGGTGTGTCTGTCTTCAGCAGGAACAACTCCGTATGTGCAAGCTTTTGACTCACTGCTGGCCGGTCCTGTGGCAGAGTACCTCAAGATCAGTAAAGAGATTGGGGGAGATGTGCAGAAACATGTAAGGAGGTTTGGCACTTTTTTCCGTCTTTTAAGAACTGGTGGCTTTCTTCAAATTCTAGTCATCCTGGGTTTAAGAGCCCCTTGAGAGGCTCCTGGCTGCTTCTACCTGCACTGAGGAACTCAGTCTATGCTCTGAAATAGTTTTTCAGATTTTTTTCCAGGCCCTCTGCTTTTATCACATGCTCTGATGGGCTTCTTTTATATAGATAGCTTGCTTTGCTCATCTTGGTAGTGAGAATGTGCTACCCCACCATGTTATATAACCAAGCCTGGAGTGGCTTATTCAAAGGCCTCATCATCATGACTTAGCATTTATGAAACTGTGCTTGGTAGTTATGCTAAAACTATGCTAATGTGAGTTATTTTCACACTTAGCCCACAGTAAGAATATGAAGTAGGCAATGACAGGTGCCTCTCCACCCACCTCCCTTCATGTGCTGCTACCCACGTTGTTACCACCACCCCCACTCTGTCTTTCTCTTTGGGACCCAGAACCTTCCTGCTAGTCTTTCAGTGATCCTTTGTAAGCAGTAACCATGTTTAGAATCAGCCTGACCCTTCAGTAAAACTGTTTGCCTGATCCTTGGAAGATATATTTGAAGCCTCTTAGATACCATCTGTTGGCAGTGGTGTTAACTCTAGAGAGTGGGACTGGGACTTAGGAGTATGGGGCTTGCATTTTTACTTTATACAGTAGATAGCATTTGAAAAAGTTTAAAACATACCACTTCTACATTTAAAAAATATAAACCCAGAAAAAAAAATATGACTTGACTTTGAATTTTTGTATGTGGTAGTGCTTATAGCTTCATGCTTCTTAAAATTCACTTGTCCATGGCCCTCAGTAAGAAATACTTATTTGTAACCAAGATATGCATGTGTGCTAAGTGTCTTTGGTCGTGTCCAACTCTTTGCGACCCTATGGGCTGTAGCTCGCCAGGCACTTCTGTCCATGGAATTCTCTAGGCAAGAATACTGCAGTGGGGGCGGCGGCGGCGGCGGCGGCGGAAGAGGGCGGAGGGTAATGGGATGGGGGTCTCGAAAAAAAAAAAAAAGAATACTGCAGTGGGTTCCCTGTGCCCTCCTCCAGGGATCTTCCCGACCCAGGGATCGAAACCGTGTCTCTTAAATCTCCTTCATTGGCAGGCAGGTTCTTTACCACTAGCACCACTTGGGAAGACCAGTTAAGATAGATAGTGCTTATGCTACTTATATTGCACCTTTTTAAAAAAATAATTTCTAATTGATGTATTGCACTCATTGTTCTGCTGTACTTCACTTAATAAAGTGCTCATTATGTGTCACAAAGTTGATTTAATGATCTGTGATAGGTCATGGTCCAACATTTGAAAATAGCTTTAACCTTATGGAGTAAATACCTTGAGAAATTGAGGCATGAGCTTACGCTTTTGCTTTTACTCCTACCTCTGGTTTTTGAAAACAAATTTTTTTGGTGATGAGAGGTAGGAGAGATTTTTCAGTGCACTTCATACCACACATGTGCAGTTGTGAACTTGACTTCATTGAAAGCCCTAAGTATCTTTGTTTCCAACTCTGGATATACAACCCTGATTAGTTCCAGCAGGAGCAATGGTATATGTAATTCTGCTATCAGTCCCTGACATCTGGATTACTTAAAGAAATCAACATGAAATGCCTGGGTTGCTGCCAGAATACACGAACGTGGAGGTTTCAGGTTATTCTTATCAGGACCTGTCCAGTTGTGAAGTGTCGCTGATAGCTGATTCTTCTCCTGTCCTCTTGTTTTCAGGCGGAGATGGTCCACACAGGTCTGAAGTTAGAGCGAGCTCTCCTGGTTACAGCCTCTCAGTGCCAGCAGCCAGCAGGCGTAAGTTCACTACTAGTTGGTTTTGTTATGGTTTGGTGAGCAGGACAGGTTGAGGGGTTTCTGCTGAGCTATCACAACATGTTAAGATAGACCTACCAGGCACCCAGTCCCAGGAGAGTCTGATTTTAAGCCCCACTATGGGAATGTGCCATTTGACAGTCTTTTCTAGCCTCTTGGCTTAGCCCAAATTCATCGTATTGTCTCCTAAGTTCATTAGGCCCTAGAGAGTGATTCTCTTGCTCCACTGTGGATGTGCTTATTGGTAAGACTTCTGGGGAGACTGTAAAAGTATTGCTTCTCCCCTCACCCTAAGTGGTTGAACATCTCTCTTTAACTTTATTCCTACCTCAAAATTTTACACTGCCAAAGTATGAAAATAAATTAGAGAAAATTTAGATTTTTCTCAGAGCCGCACATTTTAGTTTTGTTATGTTTCTTCTTTTTTTGCATTTGGCTCTCCTAAGTAGAGGGGGTAATAAAATAATTTTTCGTGCTAGTGCTATATTAAAAACCTGTGAACCCTCAACACGCCTAAATGTAAAAGTAGCAAAAGTAATGTTAAATATGTTAGACTCTAATTTTTAGTCTTAAAAATTAAAAGACAAAAGGTTAAAGCATTTTCTACAAACCTTTTATTCCAACCCCACACTTTTCACAACAATTCAGGCAGCTGAGACATTATTGTATTTCCCTTACTTTAGATCAAGGATTGGCAGACTGTAGTCTGCAGGCCAAATCTGGCCCACCACCTATTTTAAGTGAAGTTTTTTTTGAAACACAGCCATGTCCATTCTTTTAAGTATTGTCTGTTGTTGCTCTATGCACTACAACAGCAGAGTTAAGAAATAGCAACAGAGCCCGTATGGCCTGCAGAAACTGAAATATTTACGGTCTGGCTCTTTACAGAAAGTTTACCAACTCCTGCTTTAGACTGTTCTTATACTGAGATCTGAGAATCGAGATGTTCAGGAAACCAAGCTTTGTGAGAAGGATGAAAACACAGAAACACAAGATTCGTCCATTATGCTAAGCTTCCTGCCCAAATGCCAAGTCCTCTAATTGCATTTGATTCAGCAGATCTCTTCTGAGCAGCTGCTGTATGGCTAACACTGTGTTGAGGGCTGTGCAGATTATAAAATGGGGCTAAAACAAAGCCCTTGTCTTTGAAGAATTAATGAGAAATAAAGAAAAACAGGGTCCATTAATAAATGTTGCGTGGTAAGGTGCCGGAATTGGCTGTGCTGATGAGATGCTGTAGGAGGCCAGTGTGACTGGGGTTTGAGGGCTGTTGCTCATGAAGCAGAGGAGCATGTGGATAGATGGAAAGAGAAGAACCCATCATGAATGGGGGCCCAAAAACGAACTAGTAGCCCCTGTTCGTGGGACAGAAAAGAAACAAATGACAGAAATGGTAGAATTTTGTGGTACAGCTGGGGTATGGATCCTGATCATGAAGAACCACAAAATCCTGCTTGAGGAGTTGGAACTCTCTGAGGAGAGTGAGGTGTTGAGTAGTAGTGTAGCCATATGAATCTTTGGAGATAAATACAGAGTTTATTTGCATGCTTGTTGTAGTTCATGAAGAATTCTTGCCTTACAACATCAAAGTTGAGCAATATAAAACACAAAAAGATGCTAACCTCTGTCTTTTCCTGCCTCTTTTTTCTAGAACAAGCTTTCTGACTTGTTGGCACCCATCTCCGAGCAGATCCAAGAAGTGGTGACCTTTCGAGAGAAGAACCGAGGCAGCAAGTTGTTCAATCACCTGTCAGCTGTCAGCGAAAGTATCCAGGCCCTGGGTTGGGTGGCAATGGTGAGCTGCGCAGCTTCTATGGGAGGGAAGGGACAGAGGTCAGGAGATGTGGCTGGAAAGGCCCTGAGTCACTGACAGCTTTTTCTTTTTCTAGGCTCCCAAGCCTGGTCCCTATGTGAAGGAAATGAATGATGCTGCCATGTTTTATACAAATCGAGTCCTCAAGGAGTACAAAGATGTGTAAGTCCAGCTTGTCCTCAAGGGGTAAAGAACAAACCCCGCTGGTTGTTTGACTTGTTAGAGCAGGGCTTTGGGCTAAGTTAAGGCTGGCCGTGGCTGCTGTGTTGATTCTCTTATCTCAGGGCTGCTTTTTGGAAAGTGTGATAGGTGTTGACTCATAGAAGCTGGATCTGCAAGCAGAAGTGTTTCTTCCTCTTCTGCTTTTTCTCCGGGGTTTGTAGAGGGCTTTTGAGTTTTCTCATCCTTACCCTTACAGGTTTAGGAGCTTTTGCTGGATGTGAAAACGAACTAATGCCCTTTTTTTTTTCCTGTGTGGATAAGATTTTGTTCCTTTGTTGAAAACTTCTAACTGGCTCAATGACAAAAGCTATAAGTAACTTTATAATACTACCCTGACTGTTCTTATGGTCAGGTAAAGAGAGGAAGGCTGCCTGACCACTGCAGGTATTGCCTAAGGGGAGTTGTTGTACGTCTAACCACATGTGTCCGATAGTGTGAACTCCTCCATCACTGGTTTTGAGCTGGTGTGACTACAGGCACCTGTTACTTAGCTGCATAACTCTCCAAACCCTTCTTTTCTTCCTTCTGTTCATCCCCAGTAACGAGCATATGTTGAGTGACTACTCTGTGAAGGAATGAGCCTTCATGTGGGTCTGAGATGTCTCCCAGAACATTCAAGCAGCTCCTTGATCCTTTTAGTAATCTGGAATTAAGTATCACAATATTTTGATTATACCCCACTATTATAGTCCACAATTTACAGTTGAGGAAATTGAGTTTTATGCTCAGTTCAGTTCAGTTGCTCAGTCACGTCCGACTCTTTGCGACCCCATGGTCTGTAGCACGCCAGGCTTCCCTGTCTGTCACCAACTCCCGGAGCTTACTCAAACTCATCTCCATTGAGTTGGTGATGCCATCCAGTCTTCTCATCCTCTGTTGTCCCCTTCTCCTCCTCCTGCCTTCAGTCTTTCCCAGTGTCAGGGTCTTTTCCAGTGAGTCAGTTCTTTGCATCAGGTAGCCAAAGTATTGGGAGAAGGCAATGGCAACCCACTCCAGTACTCTCGCCTGGAAAATCCCATGGACGGAGGAGCCTGGTAGGCTGCAGGCCATGGGGTCGCTAAGAGACGGACACGACTGAGCGACTTCACTTTCACTTTTCACTTTCATGCATTGGAGAAGGAAATGGCCACCCACTCCAGTATTCTTGCCTGGAGAATCCCAGGGACGGGGCTGCCGTCTGTGGGGTCGCACAGAGTCGGACATGACTGAAGCGACTTAGCAGCAGCAGCAGCCAGAGTATTGGAGCTTCAGCATGAGACCTTCCATTGAATACTCAGGACTGATTTCCATTAGGATGGACTAGTTTGATCTGCTTGCAATCCAAGGGATTCTCAAGAGTCTTCTCCAACACCACAGTTCAAAGCATCAATTCTTTGGCGCTCAATAGTCATAGTCTTCCAGCTAATAATATGTAAGAGAGGAGACTTGAACTATAGTGCAGTGGTATTTCTGTAATTTAATACTGATTGTTTCCTCCTAAAGGGAAGTGTTTTATTTTCTAACTTTTTGGAGGAAGGCATTATGTTACAAGGCAGTTGAGTTTCTTGGAGTCTTGAAGATCCATAGTGATGCTTGAGAGCCCTCTTGACCATGGTTTCAGGCACAGAATATTTGCTCTTTTCAGTTTTTTATATAAGATTATGCCTAACCCACTCCAGTATTCTTGCCTGGAAAAGTCCATGGACAGAGGAGTCTGGCAGGCCATGGGATTACATGACTGAGCGTGTGTGCACGAGGGTGGAGGGAGATGGGTTGGTAGCAATAAAGTGGTAGAACTAAAAAAAAAAAAAAAAAGAGATTATGCCTAAGGTCTATATGCAAATGACACCACCCTTATGACAGAGAGTAAAGAGGAACTAAACAGCCTCTTGATGAAAGTGAAAGAGGAGAGTGAAAAAGTTGGCTTAAAGCTTAACATTCAGAAAACTAAGATCATGGCATCTGGTCCCATCACCTTGTGGGAAATAGATGGGGAGACAGTGGAAATAGTGTCAGACTTCATTTTTTTGGGCTCCAAAATCACTGTGGATGGTGACTGCAGCCATGAAATTAAAAGACACTTACTCCTTGGAAGAAAAGTTATGACCAACCTAGATAGCATATTAAAAAGCAGAGACAAAAAGAAAAAAAAAAATAAAAAGCAGAGACATTACTGTGCCAACAAAGGTCCATCTGGTCAAGGTTATGGTTTTTCCATTGGTCATGTATGGATGTGAGAGTTGGACTGTGAAGAAAGCTGAGCACCTAAAAATTGATGCTTTTGAACTGTGGTGTTGGAGAAGACTCTTGAGAGTCCCTTGGACTGCAAGGATATCCAACCAGTCCATCCTAAAGGAGATCAGTCCTGGGTGTTCATTGGAAGGACTGATGCTGAAGCTGAAACTCCAGTACTTTGGCCGTCTCATGCGAAGAGTTGACTCATTGGAAAAGACCCTGATGCTGGGAGGGATTGGGGGCAGGAGGAGAAGGGGACGACAGAGGATGAGATGGCTGGATGGCATCACCGACTCGATGGGCATGAGTTTGAGTAAACTCTGGGAGTTAGTGATGGACAGGGAGGCCTGGCGTGCTGCAGTTCATGAGTTTGCAAAGAGTCGGACACGACTGAGCGACTGAACTGAACTGAACTGATGCCTAAGGTCTTACTATACTTTGAAAAAACAGTTTGTTACTTTTTTTAAAAATTTAAGGCATATTGCTATAAGAGGTAGAGATATAGAGTCCCTATTGGTATGGACTTTGGTTTAATTAGGATAAGAGAATAGGTTTAGAAAAGAAGAAAAGAGAAGCTTAGTTATGATAGGAAAACTGCCATTGAGCAGAGCCTAAGGAGCATCACAGGCAGGCAGATGTGAGCTCACACTGGAATCACTGTTGGAATGTACCCTGACTGCCTGCAGTGAATTGTTCTTTAATTATCCCAGGGATAAGAAGCATGTGGACTGGGTCAAAGCTTACTTGAGTATATGGACAGAGCTGCAGGCTTACATTAAGGAGTTCCATACCACCGGACTGGCCTGGAGCAGAACGGTGAGTTCTCCTCCCCTCCTGTCATTCCTCCAGGATTGGGTCTGCAGGTTTCTTAGACTTCAGTGTTACCAAAGTTCAAGAAGACGTGCTGGTCTTTCCAGTGGGGATTAGAAAGAAATCAAAGAGAAGGAAAAGGGGTAAGAGTAAAGAAAACAAGAGTAAGAGAAAGAATACTCAGTTCTATTCAATGTCGGTAAACATGGGTCACGGACATGGTTGGGCTGGAGGGGAGACAGATGAATGAATAACATCATCTGAACCCTCGGGAAGCTTAAAAATAGAGATACAAAACCCCAATACCAATCACCAAGTCAAGTGCTATTATAAAGGTACACACTACAGAGTATGAGAAAGAGTGATTCTCAGCTGGGAGATACTGTACTTTCAGGAGTCATATTCTCATCTGAGACACTTCAGGTGTAGGATGGAAGTGGGAGAGATGGGTAACAGCAAAGCTTAAAGTAAATGCACAATAAACGTAGAGATTGGTCATCTGCCTTCAGTAAGAAGAGAGAGACAAATTTTTACGAGGAAAGGCTGAAAAGGCAGTAGTTGAGACTTTTAGACTTTGTAATAAGTGCTAAGGAGACTTCCTTGGTGGTCCAGTGGCTAAGACTCTGTGCTCCTAATGCAGGGGACCTGGGTTCAATCCCTGGTCAGGGAACTAGATCCCACGTGCCACAACAAAGACCTGGCACAGCCAAATAAATACATTTTTTAAAAAATTGATGATAAGAACCTATAATAGGTATTTGAGCAAAATAGTGATAATGATCAGATTTGTCCTTTAAAAAGTCTTAGTATATTTGGGGCAAGGGCTTATGCTCAGACTATGTAAGTACTCATGGTGCAAGGGGCTGATACAAACAAACTTATGGAGATACAACCAAGATAATAGAATGAGTTAGTGAGAAGACGATTGAACAGTCAAGCTTGGACGGTAATGCCTTTCACTAAAGCAGAGGCAGGGCGGTTGTACAGGAAGAGCAGGCAGGGGGTGAAGTCAGTCTTGGGTTTTGTAAGTCTGAGGTGTTGCTGACACAGTAAGATTTTTAGAACTCTAGGTTTAGAGCTGGAAAAATGGAGCTGAGTTTGATGTGGGTCGGGAGCATTAATCATTGCATCAAGGGCTACAGTGAAAATCCCATGTATCTTGGACACATGTAAGGCCCTGTTGAGGCCGGTACTGAAGGGAAGAAAAGTTGACTGTGTTCCCTGCACTTACTGTTCCAGGGGCCTGTGGCCAAAGAACTGAGTGGCTTGCCGTCTGGACCCTCTGCTGGATCTGGTCCTCCTCCCCCGCCTCCAGGCCCACCTCCCCCCCCAGTCCCCACCAGTTCAGGCTCAGATGACTCTGCCTCACGCTCAGCACTGTTTGCTCAGATTAATCAGGGGGAGAGCATCACACATGGTAAGTGAATGCTTTGGCAAGAGGAGTCAGTAAACAACTTGTTTTGGCAAGAACTTACCAGCTAGAAACCTGGCAGTCTGTAAACCATAATCATGGTTTGTTTATGGGAGATTCTTTTGGGGTGTTACATTCTTTCAGGTTGCCTAAAGGGATAGCAGAGCTGGCTTAAATGGAAATTGAAAATGGGTCATTATAGTTGTGGGAATCTTTCCTCCCATTGGAAAGTGATTTAAGGGGCACATACAGAGTACCTGCTGTACTGTGCCAAGACATGATGCCAGTGGTTTTCCCTAGAGCTTTTTCCATGTTACCACATGGTCTCTGGGAAGTCGTCATGGAAGGGGGTGGTTAACTTCCTCCGAGGATGTATATTAGTCATACAGAAAACTTGCATAAGAATGACCTAATGTTGGCATAGAAAAGGTAGACACTCTTATATACAGTAGGTTGAAGTCTAAATTATACAACACTCTCCTAGGAATCTACCTATAAAAATATTGAAAGGACAAGTTTTAGACATTATTATTTATAGTAGCTAAGAATGGCATGACAATCTATATATCCAACTTTAAGAGAAATGGTTAACTGTGGTATGTTCCTCATGATGGAATGTTATGCAACCATTAAGTCTTTGTTCTGCCATGAACCATGCAGTGTTTAAAGAAAAAAAAACTAACCACATGGAGTGGTGATGCTGGAAATCTAGTGTTGCTTATGTAGATTGGGTTCTGTTCATAAGCAAGGCATATGTCAGCCTATTGAGGGAGATTATGGAATTTTTTTTCCCTTAAGAAAAATAAAGATATTTTTAGAAACTATAGGCTAACTTGAGAAAAATTTTACTGTGTTAATTGGTTAAATTAAATTTTTTTGTCCTAAGTATGTATGCTTACATCTAGATAAACAACAACTATGAATAGAAAAATTATTGGAAGGGAAGTTTCAAGTGCCAGCACTGATTGGGGGTGGGTGGTAAGTTAGCTGTGAATGAGGTTATTTTTCCTTTTACCAAATTTTCTTTATTATCACATATTATTTTTCTTCTTCTGTTGCTTTAAAAACTATGTACATATTTTGTGATTATATACTTAATGTCTTTATAGCTCTTTTTCTTGTGTTTTTATAGCCAACCCCCCCCCCATATATACACATTCTGCATTTTATTTATTTTTTGGTGGAATTTTATAATTTAACCTTGAGGTAGAAGAAAATTAGAAAAGTGCTTTTCCAGAGGTGTGTGAGAGAACATCTTAGAGGCTCTGGGTTTTGGCTTTGAATTTTTGGTTAAGGATCAGTGTAACTTCTGGTAACAGAAGTTGGTTATTGCCTCAGCTCAAAGCCCTGGTATGAAGGACAGGAACAAAGCAGCTGTTGTTCTTACAGCTCTGAAACACGTATCCGATGACATGAAGACTCACAAGAACCCTGCCTTGAAGGCTCAGAGTGGTCCGATACGAAGTGGCCCCAAACCCTTCTCTGCACCTAAACCAGATCCCCCCAAACCAGTCACAAAGAAGGAGCCAGCTCTACTTGAACTGGAAGGCAAGAAGTGGAGAGTGGTGAGTTAAAAATGCCCAGAGTGGGGGAACAAGAAGTGGGGGCAAGGAGACTAATTGGGGCTCAGCCAAAAGAGTGCAGGCTTTTGATTACAAGAAAGAAAGTTTGGCATAGTCTGGTTTTTGGGGTGTGCTTAGTGATGAGGTTCCTAAAAGAGGATCTCTTTAACAGGAAAACCAGGAGAATGTTTCCAACCTGGTGATAGAGGATACAGAGCTGAAACAGGTGGCTTACATATTCAAGTGTGTGAACTCAACATTGCAAATCAAGGGCAAAATTAACTCCATTACAGTAGGTGAGTTTTTCTTGGCCCAGGCAGGCTCTGTCCTAAAGCTCAAGAGGGCTGGCACCCTATATCCCCTGTTTCTAGAGATTCTTAATAGAATGCTTTCCTTTAAAGTTACACTGTTAACCTGCTCCCTTTCTTCTCCTAGATAACTGTAAGAAACTTGGTCTGGTGTTTGATGACGTGGTGGGCATTGTGGAGATAATCAATAGTAAGGATGTCAAAGTTCAGGTAACTTGATACCTTGGCTTCTTCCTTTGGTCTCGGGGGAATTGAGAGAGACACAGCCGACCCACAGATGTTGCCTTGGTAGAAATCGGACTCTGGGGTCTGTAAGGTGAGCTGCTCTGGATGTTGCAGGAAAGGAGTTGGCCCTTATTGTGAGCCGTTTCCAGCACCATCCCCACCCACCCCTAGTATCCAGTACCTGTTGTACACCTGTGAGTTGTTCATGTGCTCTGGTGAAACAGGGAAAGCTTTTCCCGCAGTTAACTGTTGTTCTTCCAGAGGCCAGAACTCAGTGCTCTTGGTTTCCTCTGCAGGTAATGGGTAAAGTGCCAACCATTTCCATCAACAAAACAGATGGCTGCCACGTATACCTGAGCAAGAACTCCCTGGATTGTGAGATAGTCAGTGCCAAATCTTCTGAGATGAATGTCCTCATTCCTACAGAAGGCGGTGACTTCGTAAGTTTCTTGATCCCTCTAGTAGTATGATGTGAAAACAGGAGGACTGAAGGCTAGTGTTGGAGAAAGCTAGTTGATGGACATTTTGCACCAAGTGGGTCCAACCCAGCTGTGCACAGCTCAAGCACATGGAAGCCTGAGATGGTCCCACATAGGGGAGATGGTCTCCCCTAAGGAGAGTGGTCTCTGGCTTTCTTAGGCTGAGCAGGTGCTCAGGGTCTAGAATGGACTGGGCTTGAGTCACAGCACCCTGCTGAGCTGGTGCCACGAAGCCGTTCACCTTCCCATCTGTACCTCCCAGGCTTAACAGCTGTCCAAGGTCACTGGTCAGTAGGAAATAGACTCAGCCCTCCCTCTGTCTAGCTTTGGAGGCCCTGTTCTCCTTCCTGCACTGCACTGCTGCTTCACTGTGTCAGGGTGGGGGAGGTGGTCTCTAAGATGCGGTGCTGCCAGTTCCATAGCCCCCGTAGCCACGCTTTCACAAGCGGATTCCATTTCTCTCATTACATCCTACTTGCTCTCACAGTTTAGTGCAAACACGCATTGGGAGAAAAGTGTTAAGATTTAATTAACTCCATGTTGCCTAGCTCAGGTTTAAACTTCTTGTTTCTCTGTTTGCAGAATGAGTTCCCAGTCCCTGAGCAGTTCAAGACCCTATGGAATGGGCAGAAGTTGGTCACCACAGTGACAGAAATTGCTGGATAAGCGAAGTGCCACTGGGTTCCTTGCCCTCTCCCTCACACCATGGGATAAATCTGTATCAAGATGGTTCTTTTTTAGATTTCCTCTACCTTTCTGCTCTTAAACTGCTTCTCTGCTTTGAGAAGCACAGCTACCTGCCTTCACTGAAATATACCTCAGGCTGAGATTTGGGGTGGGATAGCAGGTCATTGATCTTCCGCAGGAAGGTGCAGCTCTTTCATATCAGCTCAACCACACCCCCAGTCCATTCTTAAGCAACTGCAGACCAGGACAGGTGTGCTTTAGCTTTCAGCCTTTGGGATTATTTGACCAACAAATAGTCTTTTGGGAAAAATATAGCAGTCCCAGGAACTAACAGGTCAGAATGTTCACACAAGTTAACATTTTTCTAACAAGTGTGAAGGTAACAGAAGCTGATCCTAGTTAGTTCTTCTAACTTAAACTAATTTTCACTATTGACAAGTGAGGCAAGTGAGGGACCAAAGGCTGAAGCTTGGCCATCTAGCATTCCTAGCAAAATGGTTTACTCTAAGCATTCCTTTTCTTCTGCATTCCATTCTGCACCTGCCCAAACCTGACAGTAGGTTGTCCTGTGTTTGCTGCTGTGGTGGTGCCCTGTACCCAGGCCAGCTAAAGGAGTCTTGGACCCTTTCTTTCTCGGGCCCCTGCCCAGCACCTTCCTACAGAGATGACTTTAAAATTAGAGTGGGCAAAAAAGGGAAAACCACACCATTCCCAGAAATCTGGCTCCCCTTTCTCCTTCCATCCTAGGTGCCCATCATCCATCTTCACTGCCTCCTTGGCCCTGTCATACTCACAACTTTTGGCTTCTTTCTGGGCACTTGAACAAAGGACTAAAATCTCCACTGCAGGCTGTTTTTAGGTCTTGTGTAAAAATCTTGCACAGCCTTGCTAATGCAAATTTCAGTTTTTCCTCTAGGACAAACACTTTACCAAAATATGCAACTTTTTTTGGTGGGAAGAGAGATTGTCCTGTGATTTCTACCCATTTCGTGAGGCCTGTGGAAATAAACCTTTATGTACTTAAAGTTATACAGAAAATAGAATAAAATTAATACCAAACTCGCTTCGTATTTATGTATGATATTTGCTAAACAGAGATGTAAGAACTTTGAAAAGAAAACTGACACCAAGGATAAGAAACTACTCTTTATTTTAGACAACTTCATAAAATTGTTTTCACCCGTCCCCACTTCTTGCCTTTCATCCCCTTGTTTTAGTTGAAAAGTCTTGAAAGAGGTGAAGGAAAACCAGAAGGTAAACTTTGTAGCACTTAATAAAGTGCTTCCCTCAAACACAGCTAATCATTTCTACATACTGGCATTCTGCAGAACAGTCTTCCAAAAGTGGTGCTAGGATTTCATGGGGTAAGGGAGTTGGGGCTAAAATGTTGTCTTTAGCAGGAATTCTCAAAAGTCCTTAATATTCTAAGGTGGGTTTATCTCCAAGAGAAAAGGGTTACGGAATGTTCCCTAAGCTTTCTTGAGCAGTATTTTTTTTTTCACAGAACACATCAGAAGCAGTTTGGAGTGTTCTGGTAATACACATTTTTGAGATGGAAGTTAGAAAGCCTGATCTCTTCACATTTTCTCCCCTCCCATTCTTTGCTAATGCCAGCAATAGAGTAACTCTGGAATCCAGACCACCAGTCATATTCAGAAGGGGCAGGTTTATCAAGCGTGGAATGGAAAGAACCAGCTACCTCCTTTTTTGTTTTAATTTTTACATTTTTCTTTAAACCTCCCTACCGTCTAAGCAATATGTATAATTCCTGCCTTAAGCAATCCAATTGGGTGCTACTTCCCTCCTCTTGTGACACAGCAACTAAGTCATCACTACCTAAGGAGACAGTGCTACCAAGGCAAGATCGTGGGCTGCCAGAATTTGTAAAATAATACCCAAGACACCACAGAAAGCAACATACTCAGAGGAGGGCAGCCTTAAAGAAATTACATGGATGCATTAGCCAAGCGATACTTTTCCGAGCACTGGTCAAATCACCAGAACAGTTAAGAAAGCATTTTATGTGAATACCTCAGGCCTGGGTACTGGCCCCTTGGCTTGAGATGTGGCTAGATTTTCCTGAGAAAGTCATTCATCTTAGACTATCTCACTAGTTTAGTTTGTTCAGTCTCTTCCAGGCCTGGGCAAAGCTCTGCCACTGACCTGCAGCAAACTCCTGATTCCTAAAAGAGTCTGACCATATCAAAGGTTGTAAAACAGGCTCCATGGCTATTAGCTAATTAAACTGGCATTCAACACCATCTGCTGATAGGATGAGGCAAAGGATAAGATTTGTATCTTGGATCTTTCCAAGTGGGGCATGTTCAATTATGACTAGAGAGAAGGATTAGTTGCTAGCTGGATCTGAGCTCAGGCTTGGGCATAGAGGGAACTGGAAGGGGTTCCCTGAGCTCTGGTTCAGACTACAAGGGTTTCACTCAAGGAAGGGTATGATGTGGGCGTAAAACCATTCTTCAGACAGTTGAAGATGGTCACCTTCAAGAGCCAGGAACACCAGCTGTCCGGCCTTGTCCATTGCCTTTAGCCCCAGGCGGTCCTGCAGAGAGGCCATAATTAAGAAGCTTAATGGTTTTACAGTAAAATCATAAATAATGTTAACTTGAGATATTCTCAAAAATGCAGTATTTTCTCGAGTATTAAAATTTAGGTAAGTGAAATGCCAACAAGGATACTTCCCTCCCGTTTTTTTCCCCTAAATATTAAAAACATGTTTTTGATGGCTGTTCCTCTCGTTGCTTGAAGCCTTAGGCGGGAGGATTTTAGTCCACCATTTTATCTAAGCTGACTTGTCTTCTCTTAGGACACCATGGGGATGGGTTGGTGGTCATTAGTGTCTTCTGATTTTTACGGAGTCAACTGGAAAAGTTATATGCCATTGAGGTGGTTCTATACAGTTTTATACTCTGCTTTCTGGAAACTCCCAAAGCTTCTGGAGGACCACCTACAAGTAAGCAAGCCGTGGACAAAACTGCCTCAAAATGTCAAGTGGGACTGAGCCAAAGATGGGAGAACATTAGCAAGAGAACATAGAACATACCCAACTCTTAGATGACAAAACTCAGACACTTCCACATCCTGCAGCTGAACAAGTCATGACTCAGCTGGGGTGCTGAAGAACAAGTGTGGTTGGGAAGATGAGCAGTTAGGATGGTGCCAGAATGCTGCTACTGCTGTTCAGTTTAGTCGCTCTGTGTCCGACTCTGCGACCCCATGGACTGCAGCACGCCAGGCCTCCCTGTCCATCATCAACTCCCGGAGTTTACCCAATCTCATGTCCATTGAGTCGGTGATGCCATCCAACCATCTCATCCTTTGTCCCCTTCTCCTGCCCTCAATCTTTCCCAAATGAGTCAGCTCTTTGCATCAGGTGGCCAAAGTACTGCAGTTTCAGCTTCAACATAGTCCTTCCCATGAATATTCAGGACTGATCTCCTTTAGGATGGACTGGTTGGATCTCCTTGCAGTCCAAGGGACTCTCAAGAGTGTTCGCCAACACCACAGTTCAAAAGCATCAAACCACCAATTTGAGTTTCATGACAAGTTCTTAGTTGTAACTTGAAAAACTCTTAATAGACCCTAGCTTCCTTTTACCTCACCCGCGGCAGGGCACCAGAGGCAGGAGAAAAGCCAAGAGATAACAATTGGCCTCTGAAATTACTTGGGGTCTGAATAGAAGGCAAGTGGTTCAGATGCAGCATTTCTGCACTTTAGGGAGAGTATCTCCAAAATAAAAGCCTGAGAGTGTGGGAGACTCCAGAACTGGGAGTGGTAAAAAGCTGCTTGAGAAAAAGGCCTACTGCTGAACAAAATTTATAGCTCTGTTCCTCCCAGTTTCCTGCAGGAGGAGCTTCCCCTGTCAGTGCCTGGTTTAAAAACAGGACTTCAGCATCTATTGACATTAGTGTTTTAAAGTAACAGCCCTCCATATTTTTGTCATGTGGGGGCTCTTTGGATTTGTGATGGACTGCACCTCAGCAAAGGAAGCCAGTTCTAACCCTGTTATCAGAAGGAGTTAGAGATATGTCTCTTGCCCAGGCCTGAAAACATGAGGAACAGGTCCTTCAACCTTCAGGATGGAGACTTCAGTAAACCAGTGCCTGATAAGCTGGTGCCACAATCAGCAGCCTAATGAGCCTTGCCCACAGCACCTGCTGTGCTAGAGTGTACAGGACCAGGTATGTCCCCAAAGCACCTAGCAGCTCCCAGAATCGAAATGACGAGGACTGCACCTCTCCGCCCCAGTTACCTGTGTGTATAGGGTGCTCTCTTGTAAGGGAATGGTCTCCTTGGCTTGGCCACTTCTGTAAAATCCAAACCACTACAGGAGAGGAGGAAGAACGGCGGTCAGATCAGACACAAGGCGCACATTGCCAAACGATTTCAAGACTGGCTAGTAGCTGAGACTACTGACAGACAACTCCCTAACGCTGCAGCAAGGAGGGACAACAAAGCATGCCTTAAGTCATTTCTTCTTAAGGTTGGATCCTGAGGTATGAGTTAATCATTCCAAACAGCTTTCTGATTCCCTAGAACTGCTGCTTCCTACAGTTACTGAGCACCTACTCTGTGAAAAATCCTTGTGCTATATAAACAAAGATGAATTTATGTATACAGTCCCTACTTTTCAGCAGCTCTGGTCCAATGCACAGACACAAATAATTGTTTAGTATGGGGGTCAGCAAACTTTTCCATAATAAACAAACACAAAATAATTTAGGCTCTAAGGGGCCACATGGTTGCAACTACTAAATACTGCCATTATAATGCAAAAGAAGCCAAGAGACAAAATTTTTTAAATGAATTTTTTAAATGAATATGGCTACATTCTTTTTTTCCTCTGTCTTTCCCCACCAGCACCCCCGGCTGCATCCCAGCATGGCATGTGGGATCCCGACCAGGGATCAAACCCACATCCCCTACAGTGGAAGCTGAGTCTTAACCACAGAACTGCCAGGGAAGTCTCAATATGGCTGCATTCTAATGAAACTATTTATAGATGTTGAAATTTGTAATTCATGTAATTTTCACATCATCAAAGTTTTTTACTTTTTTCTACCATTTAAAAACAAAAACCATTTTCCTTCGTGGGCCATACAAAAGCAGGTGCAGGGTGGATTCAGCCCACAGGCTGTGGTGTGCTAGTCCCTGGTGCTCTGACACAGAGTAATGAACACCAATATGATAGAGGCTGATAATTCTGCAGAGGGAGCAAATTCTGCCTAGAAGAGGGGTGGCTTTCTGGATGGAGGAAATAACATTTGAGCTGAACGTGAGCTTGTCAGGTGGAGAAGCCCAGGGAAGGGCATTTTAGAGACTAAAGCATGAATAAAGGAACACAAAAGAGGAAACACGTGCCAGGAGCAGGGCATTTCAAGTAGCGCAATGTGATTCGGTCAGAGAGGGGATGAAGTGATCAATGAAGTAAGATTAGGTTGGAAAGAAGTCAAAACCAAGTCAAGGCTGAAAGTGAATGTGAGCCTCAGGGAGTTACAGATTTTGGACCAGTGCTGCTGAACCTTTTCTGGATCACAGATCTCTGAAAATCTGATAAAAAATTTCTAGACCATTCCTCAGAGAATGCACCTTCAGCTTACCCTTGAACAACATGGGTGTGAACTGCTCGGGTATACTTACATGTGGATTTTTTTCAATACTGTGGATGCTGAAGGAAAACTATAAGTTATATGTAGATTTTTGACTGTGCAAAGCATCAGCGTCCCTAACCCCTATGTTGTTCAAGGGTCAACTGTATATAAGTTTGCAAACAGTTTTGGGTGGTGGGGGGTTACAACCCTGAGTGTCCCATTTATAGACCTCAGAACCCCTGCTCTACACAAATGTGGGTGGAAGGGACTGACAACTTTTCCCAGCAGGCAGCTGTGGGGTTTGTGTTTTGTTTTTTTTAATTGATTTATTTATTTGGCTACATTGGGTCTTAGTTGCAGCATGTGGGATTTTAGTTCCTGACCAGGGACTGAACCTGCGTCCCCTGCATTGGGAGAACAGAGTTTTAATCACTGAACCACCAGGGGAAGTCCCCAGGCAGCTGTGTTTTAATGCCATTTTCTCTGCCCATCTCCTGGCATGTTGTAGCCTAAGAAGCGGCTCACCTCAGAATCTACAGGGTCCACAATGGAATCATTGAGGAATTTCACCATCACAAACTTCTTAAGGGCCATCAGGTTTTTCTTGTAGGACTCGTTGATACCCTGCAGGAAAAGTCAATAGTAAGAACCTTGGGGACATTACCATCAGATTCTAGCCAGGGAATTAAAACCTTTCAGTGCTCTGGTCTCCCTGACCCTGGGTTTCTTCTCCATGGTAATGGGCTGCTTTTCTCGCTTCCTGCCCAGAATACACCAGGTACAGACTTTTTCTTAACATGCCATCTGATTGACAACACCCCCAGCAACCATGGCGTACAGATGGCCACCATGAATGGCCACCATGAATCTGTCACTGCACTCCACAGGTCTCCATCACATAGGTTAAAGGCTTCTAGTCAGAGAAAGCCAAGGCAAAATAAGAAACTGCAAACTCTGAGTGGTTCTGCCATACTATTCTGTTCCCATCGCCCCCCTCTTCAAATTCTGTTTTTGTTTGTTTTAAACCTCCAGATAAGCCAATAAAAATTGAGCCAGAATCTCCCAACCCATGTTCATCTCTGGGACACATTCAGTCCCCTGTGCAGTCTCTCTTCTTAAGTAAACCACTCTTCTGAAAAAATATGACCCCAAAGCAATCCACTAGAAAGGCTTCCTTCAGTAAGGCAGCAGTTGAGGTTCCTATCAGCCAGCACCTATCGAGTTCACCCTGCTGCTTCAACATTAGGCAACAGGAAGAATCCACAGGAAGAAAACCAAATGAATTTCAGCCTCCCTAGAAGGAACTGAACCTCATAAGCACCGCCTCCCACAACACAGAACTTCCGGTTTCCCGGGTTCTGCCTGGGATATTTTGGACAGTCACTGCTCATCTGTTTATAATGTCCCTAACAGGAAAGGGAATGCACAATAGCCTGGGTTGGGTGCTTACTCTCTCTTGATTAATATCTGCCAGGAAGATGCTGTGGTTGCGGTATATGTCCTCCCTGATGGGGTCGTGCCAGTATTCTGCTTGCACCAGGCTGTGGGAGAAAAAGAAATAAAGGTGACCAAGCACATCAGTCAGTATGCCTGAGGCATGGCCCTGGGCACAGGCCACCAAGAGACTGTGAAGGGACAAAAGACCAGAGCCTTCTGTTCCTGCTGCCTGATCCCTTTTTTCTTAGCATCTCCGATGCTCCTTCCTTCTTGTCTTTGAGACCTAGCTTAAGTATCTTTTCTTCAAAGACCATTCTGGCCTAACTAGGCACCTCCTCCATTACTGTCCCTCACTGTATCTTGTTTCTTTCTGCCACAGCCTTAGCTGGTGCTAATGGGATCTAGTCCCCTGATCAGGGATCGAACCCAGGCTTCCCTGCATTGAGAACTCAGAGTCTTAACCACTGGGCCACCAGGGAAGTCTCTGGGTTATTTTGAACTTCCAGGATCTCTCTCTTACTCTCTAATAATTGGCTTTATTTGAATTCTTTTCTAGAGTCATGGATGATCTTTTTATCTCTGAAGATAATAATATAGGCTTTTTTTTTAAGGTTTCCTTCAGCTTCTTGAATTGCCATCTGTTTCTTCCAAGTCCCTTTTTACTTTTTGTTGTTTTGATCTGTCTTCTGTTTTGGAAGCTTTCCTCAGATGTCTGACGGAGGGGTCGGGTGGCAGTCTTTGGCTCACTGTTCATATTTAAACAAGGGATAGCTCAGTTGGTAAAGAATCTGCCTGCAAGGTAGGAGACCCTGGTTCAATTCCTGGGTGGGGAAGATCCGCTGGAGAAGGGACAGACTACCCACTCCAGATTTCTTGGGCTTCGTTTATGGTTCAGCTGGTTAAGAATCTATCTGCAATGTGGGAGACCTAGGTTCAATCCCTGGGTTGGGAAGATCCCCTGAAGACAGGAAAGGCTACCCACTCCAGTATTCTGGCCTGGAGATTCCATGACTGTATTGTTCATGGGGTCACAAAGAGTCGGACACAACTGAGCCGCTTTCACTTTCACTGAGCTGAATGGAAATTCTTCACACAGTTCAGTTCAGTCGCTCAGTTGTGCCCGACTCTTTGTGACCCCATGAACCACAGCACACCAGGCCTCCCTGTCCATCATCAACTCCCGGAGTCTACCCAAACCCATGTTCATTCAGTTGGTGATGCCATCCAACCATCTCATCCTCTTTTGTCCCCTTCTCCTGCCCTCAATCTTTCCCAGTATCAGGGTCTTTTTCAATGAGTCAGCTCTTCACATCAGGTGGCCAAAGTACTGGGGTTTCAGCTTCAACATCAGTCCTTCCAATGAACACCCAGGACTGATCTCCTTGAGGATGGACTGGTTGGATCTCCGAGCAGTCCAAGGGACTCTCAAGAGTCTTCTCCAACACCACAGTTCAAAAGCATCAATTCTTTGGCACTCAGATTTCTTTATAGCCCAACTCTCACATCCATACATGACCACTGGAAAAACCACAGCCTTCACTAGACGGACCTTGTTGGCAAAATTAATGTCTCTGCTTTTGAATATGCCGTCTAGGGTGGTCACAACTTTCCTTCCAAGGCTGAGGGCTTCCCGGGTGGCTCAGATGATTAAGCGTCCACCTGCAGTGCAGCAGACCCGGGTTGGGAAGTTTCCCCTGGAGAAGGAGATGGCAACCCACTCCAGTACTCTTGCCTGGAAAATTCCACGGACTGAGGAGCCTGGTAGGCTATAGTCCATGGGATCGCAAAGAGTCGGACACGACTGAGTGACTGCTTTCCTTCCAAGGAGTAAGAGTCTTTTAATTTATTTATTTTTATTTTTTTTTTTGAGTCTTTTAATTTAGACACAGCTTATCTACTGGTGGTTTCACTACGTGGTAGTCAGGTGTCCTGATTTGTGGAGGATTGCAAAATATCAACCTGCAGATCTTCTCTCTGGGACCAATCAGTTTTTTCAGGGAGGGATTCATCAAACTGCCAAGGAGGTAATAACCTGGCTGCTATCATTCTGGGAATCAAACAGGAGGAAGTGGGTTTTCAATAAGGTGTCTCATCACCATCCTGTGCTTATCATCCCAAAGTCTGGTACTTCTTGAGTTAAACTGCTCCAGAAAATAAATTTGGCTTCTCTTGTCAGGACTGGGGACGAGCAGTCACTTGGACGTACACTTAAGGGATTCGGGGAGTCTGATCATTGTTTCTACAGATTTTCAATGAAGAGTCTCATGCACTTACTCTACCAAAGTATCTTAGATGTCAAATTCCTAAGGCCTTCTGAGATTATAAAAAGTAAACTGGTCCCTTCTTGTCAGTGCTTCCTTCAACAGACATAAAGGTTTCAGAATTTTCTGCTCTGCTAAAACAATTATCACTCATTCATCTGCTTTCTTTCAAAAAACACGCTGACATCTTTTTTATTATCTCTTCTCTCCTCTCCTGTTCTCTTTGCCCTTGTGAGTTTATCACAGGTTATTCTTCTGCTTTGTTGTTGTTTAGTCGCTAAGTCACGTCCGATTCTTTTGTGACCCCATGGACTATAGCCTGCCAGGCTCCTCTGTCCATGGGATTCTCCAGGCAAGAATACTGGAGTGAGTTGTCACGCCCTCCTCCAGGGGATTTCCAGGGATCAAACCCAGTCTCTTATGTCTCCTGCACTGGCAGGCAGGCTCTTTACCACTAGCGCCACCTGGGAAGCCCCATAACCATACTAGTTGATCCCAAATCTCAGTTATCACCCAGAATATTCCAGACCTACTAAATCCAAATTTCCAGGGATGAGACCCTGGAATTCATTTTTAATGAATTTCCCAGGGGGTCTGACATATAATTTAGGTTTGGGAACAACTGAAGGACAACATACTCCAAAAGTAATTCTGAATATTTTAAAATACCCAAACATATGTAGTTGAGGACACTGATGTAAGAGGTTAACCCTTTGCTGCTGACAATATAAAGAATCTGTCCTTCAAATATTAACAGTAGTTTCTTAGCCTGAGTAATTTCTATAGGCTTTTTTATTTTTTAAAGATGAAAATGTATTGTTGTAATTACATTCTTCTTATATAGAAAAATGTCCTCCCTTTCTTTAAATTACTATTAGAGCAGTTTTAGATTTACAATAAAATGAAGCAGGTAGTATAAACATATTTGCAATCATTTGAATATCACTAGCAACTATTCCTAGAATCACGGTTAGCATGAAAGTTTGCATGATATTATCATGCAGTGACAGTTCTGCATCCTTTTCAGCTAACCATACATACCGTTCCTGTATAGCTTTATTGTAAGCCCCAGCATTCAGTGTTTTTCTGATGAAGTCACAGATGTGTGAGCTTTCTCCTGGGCACCGAGGGAGTCCAAAAACACCTACAGCAGTAGAAGACAAATATCCATGCCTTCAATAATCATGTCCTGAATACCTACTATGTGCAGGGCATTGAGAGAAACAAAAACCAGAAATAGATACTGATTTCACTCATTCATTTCTTAAGGAAATAATGTATTTGGAGTTAACACTTTAACCAGCTTCCTCCTGGTGTTCCCTCTCTTTGCTGCCTCAGGCCCTTTGCACCTACTCCCCCCGGGAGGATGCACTTCTCTTATGCTTCAATGGGGGGCCTCATTCTCATCTCTTGGGTCTTAGCTTAGAGAAGTCATACCTGAGAACCCTAACTCAAGCAGTGCTCAACCCCTGTTCCTCCCCCCACCCAGTTATACCTGCGTCCTGATCAATAACATTTTGGGGGGGTACCAGACATACCAATTCTAAGCATATACTGGCAATAATTCATTTAATCCTTACAACCACCCTGCAGAGTAGAAATCATTATTTACACTGTATTACAGATAGGAAACTTTTAAACAGAGAGGTTAGATACTTTGTCCGAGGTTAGACAGGAAGTGATGGAGCCAAGATATGAACATGAGCAATTTGGTTCCAGTGCCCACTCCTTTCACAAATATAACCTCTATTCTTCCATTATCGTATTTTTACTTTATCATAGTTACTACTATCTGTATTTATTTTGTTTGCTTACTTGTTTTGTGTCTAGTCTCCCCCTACTAGGATGGAAGTTTCATGAAGGCAGAAACCTTATCTGTCTTGTTTTGAGGTTTTCAATAAATATTTGTGGAATCAATGAATGAATGATAAAGCTGTTTCTACCAATCTGCATTGAATAAAACATACTTTTAAAAAGTATTTTCCTACCTATTATTTTATTTCATCCTCTGAAAAATTCCCGTACGATGGGCAGTGTCTTATTTTAGCTACTCTCTGTGAAAGGGACCCTATGATACCAAATTACTTGCCCAATTAACATTTAATTGGATGAATCCAATTTCCTGATTATAAGGGGAGTCTTGCTCCTACACTCAACAAGCTTAACAGCGAAATCCATCAGAACAGAAATAAAGTTCTACCCCAAGACACATCTGCCCCAAATGTTTATTAATTCTGTCACAATAGCAAACCTGTTGGTTTTTTTTTTTTTTGAAAGATTTAATCTCTGCTGTTAATTTTACAGACAAAAAAAGCCTAGACATTATTCATTGCCTAAGTCCCAATTCAATAGGGCACCACCCATGTCAGAAAACAGGAAAGGTTGTTGGACTTTCCAAATTCCTCAACCACTGCCTGTCACATGGCTGCAACCATCTCAACTGCAGGAAATCATGTCAAATAAATTAGAGAAAAGTAGGTGGTAATGTAATCTGTGTTCCAGGTCTCTGGAATCCTATTTTGTCATCATTGCTGGCTAGTTTTTTATAACTTAGAAAAACAGGATTTGGGGGAGGATGGCTGACTTCTTGTACAAACAGAGATGCCAGAATATTTTAGGTAAAGAGGACAAAGTTACCTTGATGTTGTCCCCCAATTGAGATGAGATTGACCATGGGAGGTGATGGGCATCTCTGAGCCACTGCCCGCCTGGAGGAAAAAAAAAAGGATTATCAGTTTACACTGTCAGATGGAAACAGATCATCAATAATCAACTTCCCAGGGGAGTCTGGGGGAGAATGGGTACATATATATGTATGACTGAGTCCCTTCTTCCCTGTTCAGCTGAAACTCACAACATTATCTGCGAATCAACTACACCTCAATACAAAATTAAAAGTTTAAAAAAAAAAAAAACAACTTCCCAGATTAAGTTACTTAATCTGTGGTTCCCCAAAGCCACAAAGTTTCAGGATTAATTTTCCTCTGATACAGCCAAACACAAATCTTTATTCCTTCACAGAAAATAAATTAAGCTCCACAGGGCTTCTTCCAAGGGACTATTTTAGAAGAGTTTCCCATCCAAGGTAGGTGATGATGCCAAAAACACTAAACAGATAGAGCTATCTGAATCAAAGGGCAACAGTCAGTTTCAAGTGATACAATATATAAGTGGTATGATGTAACAGAAAGGGACTTACAGAAATTGGCCTCCCTGGGAGAATCCCATAGCATTGTATCCTTGCTGCAGTTTAGGATCCTTAGCAAGAATCTGACATACTGTTGTTACTTGGGAATTGACATTCAAAAAGAAGCTGTTCTCCACATCCTAAAAGAGAAGCCACAGAGAAATCGAAGGACGGGCTGAACACAAGCCCTGGCACCTTCTCTAACAGGCAAACTTGTTCAGGCTGGTGCCCTCAGAAGCCACTCAGGTATCACTGTATGGACTTCTGCTAAAAATGCAAGGTAAAGCATTTGAATAGTACATTCTACAAAATCGTCAGCAAACCTTCAAAGGGACAGAACTGTGAAGCGCCTCACCTCTACGAGAGTCTTCCCAATCTCTAAAGATAAGACGTGAATTCCAGGTATTTTCTTCTCAACCATTTTTTTAATAGCACCCATACTTAAGGGATTACAACAGCTGTCTCCTAGACAACAAAGACAACCATGGAAACTTATGAGTAAAAACACATTATTTAACTTTTAAAAACTTTGTACTTCAAAGGCATTAACGAAAATATGCAAAGACAACACACAGAAGAAAATATTTGCAAGACATACTTAATAAGAGCTTAATATCTGGAATATACAAAGAACTCAAGTCAATAGGAAGATAATCTAATTAAAATGGGAAAAGGACTTGAGCAGACATCTCTTCAAAGAACATATACAAATGGCCAACAAGCACACAAAATTATGTTCCACATTACTGGTCATTAAGGAAATGCAAATCAAAATCACAATGAGGTACCAATGCAAACCTACTAAGATGCCTTTAAAGCCTTCAATTTTTTTAAAAATTAACTATTTAAAAATGGAAAATAACAGACTTACCTGGTGGTCCAGTAGTTAAGAATCCACCTGACAATGCAGGGGACGTGGTCCTAGAAGATTACATACGCCACAGGGCAACTAAGCCTGTGTGCCACAACTACTGAGCCCACTCGCCCTAGAGCCCGTGCACCGCAAGAGAAGCCACCTCAACGACAAGCCCATGCACTGCAACTAGAGGAAGCCCTCACACAGCAACGAAGACCCAGAGCAGCCAAAAATAAAAAATAAATTAAAAAAATTTTTAAATAGAAAATAACAAGTTTTGGCAAAGACAGGAAGAAATAGGAACCCTTTACATTGCTGGTGGAAATGTAATATGGTGCAGCCACTGTGAAAACAATTTGATGGTTCCTCAAAAAGTTAAATACACAATGACCATTTGACCCATTAATTTCAATTCTAAATACAGAACCAAGAAAAGTGAAAACACGTGTCCCTACAGAGACTTGTACAAGAATATTTGAAGCAGCATTATCTGTAATAGCTAAAAGGTGGGAAACACTCAAAAGTCAATCAATAGATGACTGGATAAACAAATTATGGTAGATAGATATAGGAAAATATTATTCCGCCATAAAAAGGAACAAAGTATTGAAACATGCTACAACATGGATGAACGTCAAAAATGTTATTTTAAGTGAAATAAGCCAGAAATGAAAGGTTACATACTGTATAGTTCCTTTTATATGACACATCCAGAATAGGCAAATCCATTGAAACAGAAAGCAGACTGAACATTTCCTGGGGTGATGGGAAGACGGGGTGAAGAGTGATTCCTTAAAATGGGGTACACATATTTTCTGCGGTGATGAAAAAGTTTTGAAACTAGAGAGAAGTGGTGGTTGCACAACATGAATACACTAAATGCCACTGAACTGTATACTTTAACATGGTTAAGTGTATGTTACATGAATTTCACCTCAACAACAACAAAAAGAACAACATTTTTTGCTCAGCTCATGTTGTTAACAAGTAATAACTTCAAAAGCCCAAAATGGTATCATGGGGACCCCAAATTCACAAGTGAAAAAAAGCAGAGGTGCATGTTCTCTTATCATCTAGAACATCTGTGGTACACAGGCCCCAAAGCACCTTGAAATCTTATCTCTCTTTAGGGCCAGGACTAGAGCAAGACAAGTGAAGAAAGCTCATCTAAGTGCTGACGTTGAGCTTTTTTTTTCCTCCTGTTTCAAGGAACCAAGAACTAAGAATAGGAAGCAAAGTGACTGACTGCTGAGTAGGATAAGTGGGCTATGATCATTTTCCATTTTGAACTTAATCATTCCATTTTCAACCAGAGAGTTAAACTTTTTTTGAAGAAGGAAAAGAGCTTGAGCATGTTCTATTTCTCACACTGAACTATAATCATGGGTTACTTAGGTGGCTTCCAAATAGACTGACTGCACTCTGGGCAGACACAGAGCTCTCATGTCCTCTTTTAACTCCACTGCAGGAGCCCAAGGCCCTGGCACAGACCTTTGAAAGAACCATCTCTACCTACTGATTCTAATTCCTCTCTGAACATTTTTCTTTCACCTATTCCAATAAGGTTCACACTCTCACCACTCCCCTAAAAGTGGTTTAATCAAGGTCATTAGTGATCTTCCCACTGTGAAATCCAATAACCAATTCTTAGCCCTCATCTTAGTCGACCTAGCACCAACATTTCACAGTTCGCTATCCCGTCCTCTTGAAATATTTTCATGTGGTTCCCAGGACATTGCACTCTCCTGACTCCACCTCCTCCCTAGCTGTTCTGTCTCAGTCTCCTTTGCTAATTCCTCTCCATCCCCTCGGGGGCTTCCCTGGTAGCTTAAGGGTAAAGAATCTGTGATCCCTGGGTTGGGAAGATCCCCTGGAGAAGGAAATGGCAACCCACTCCAGTATTCTTGCCTGGAAAATCCCATGGACAGAGGAGCATGGCGGGCTACAGTCCACAGGCTCAAAAGAGTCAGACATGACTGAAGCGACTTAGCACACATGCATTCCATCTCTTCATTCTCCAGATGCTGGGAATGCCTCAGAGCTCGGTCTTTAGACCTCTTTCCTCTTCTGAATATCGTCACTCCCTAGGTGATCTTGTCCAGTCTCACAGCTTTAAATACTAGCCATAGGCCAAAGGTTCCCAACTTAATCGTCCAGCCTGTATCTGTCTCAAGACTCCACACTCCAAATGCCTCTAAATCTCCTGAATATGTAACAAACATCTCAAATTTAGTAAGTCCCAAAGCACATTCTTGATTTTCACCCCAAATTTGTTCACCCTACAGGCTCCCCCATTTTGGTAAAATGACAACCTCATCCTTCTCGTTGTCCAGGCCAAAAACCATGGACTCATCCTTGACTCCTTTCTCATCCCATATATATCTGTTAGCAAATCCTACTGGTTCTATCTTCAAACTGTATCCAGATGTTGACTACTTCTCAACATCTCCCCTTTTACTATACTTTTTCAAGTCACCGTCACCTCATTTCAGTTCAGTTCAGTCACTCAGTCGTGTCTGACTCTTTGCGACCCCATGGACTACAGCACGCCAGGCCTCCTTGTCCATCACCAACTCCGGGAGTTTACTCAACCTCATGTCCATTGAGTCGGTGATGCCATCCAACCATCTCATCCTCTGTCGTCCCCTTCTCCTCCCACCTTCAATCTTTCCCAACATCTTGTTTAGATTATTGCAAAAGCTTTCTAACTTTTTTTCCCTGCAAAGGTCCATGACCTCCTACAATCTAGTCTCAATATAGCAACTTGTCGTTGTTCAGTCACTCAGTTGTGTCCAGCTCTCTTTGACCCCATGGACTGCAGCACACCAGGCTTCCCTATCCTTCACCACCTCCTGGAGCTTGTTCAAACTCATCTCCATTGAGTCAGTGATGCCATCCAACCATCTCACCCTGTTGTCTCCTTCTCCTGCCTTCAATCTTTCCCAGCATCAGGGAATATAGGAACTAGAGTGCTTTTAAATTGCAAATCAGATCATGTCACTCATCTGCTAAAAACTCACAACAATGTCCCATCTCTTCTAGCCAAAGTTCCTGCACTAGCCTTAGTAGCCCCAACAACATATGCAGGCCATCCTCTTACCCCTATTTTCTTCTGACTCACTCCCTTTCAGCTACACTGACCTGAGTGTTGCTCCTTGAACACACTAGACATACTAGATATACTTCTGCCTCATGGCTTTGCATTTGCGGATCTTTCTACCATATACTCACGTGGCATCTTCTCTCATGGACTTCAGGCCTTTGCTCAAATAATCACTTTTTCAGTAAATCCTGGCTTTGCTCTATGAAACTGCAAGCCCCCACCTACACTCTCTATCCTCCCCCTCCCCTGCTTTATTTTCCTCCATTGCACGAATCACCATTTGACATATGTTTTATTTATTTATCGTTTGTCTATTCCACTGGGAAGTTCTAAAAGAGCAAAGAATTTAGTCTGTTTAGTTTATTGTATCCTCCGGATCCAGTAGGTAGTCAGTAGCTACGCGTCAAAAGTATAAACGAATTACAGGTGCCTAAAAAATCTCTGATGAATGAACAAAAGGATAGAGATGCCGCGGTCACGCAGGCACAACCCTGCTTTCCTGAGCGAGAGTCGGATGCTGCACCCTGACGCCACTGCCTTGAGATTAAACCAGGACACCGCGTAAAACCCTACCGCAGTGCACAGCCCTCTGTGAGCGCTCACCAAAAGACAGCTCCTTTCTTATCTCCCTTACCAATGCAGGGTAACCCCCAAATCCTAAAACGTGGAGCCAGTCCGGTGCTGTGTGACCACGGTCCTCGCCCTCCACACTTGCACTTTGCAGACGCGAACCCAGGCTTGGAGAGGGAAAGGGTCGCCAAACCCTTTTGACTCTCTTCTCACTCCCTCCTTCACTCACCCATCCCATGCCAGATCACCAGCGGCAGGGGAGCCGGCGGGTCGAGATGCCCCAGCGCCAGGGAAGTGCAGGAACCCAGCAGGAAAGCGAGAGCCAAGAGCCGCAAGCAGCTGGACGACGCCATCTTGACTCTATCACGTGACCGCGCTCCCCTGGCCCCGGCCTCTGTGCCGGCGCCGGCGCGGGCGGGTCGCATCCGCCACACCTCCGCCTGGGTGGCCCCGGGCCGGCGGGCGTCTCTCCGGGCTCGTTGCCCCAGTAGACTGCTCGCCACCAAAAATCAAATCCTGTCCATCAAGCACTATTCTAAGCGCTTTACATCTGGTAACTGCTTCAATCTCCATCACGCCCGAATACACTTCTCCCCATTTTACGGGTCAGGGCATGTGAGGCACTGAGGTGGGTTAGCAATCAAGGTCACAGAGATGGTACGTTGGTGGATCCAAAGGCTTTGCTCTTACCCTTGCATCGCCCTGCTTGGGAAGAAAAGTACTTTGTGGAAGAGAAGGAAGAAGGGAAGGAGAAAGGAAAAAAGAGCTGACTCAGCTCTTTATCAGAAATGGAAGGAGAGTTATAATTTTCAGGGCTAATTATGGCAGTGTACAAGGAAAGAGAATTTCAAGAGGCTAAGATAAAATGCCAGAGAAGGACTGGTATAAGCTAAGATAGAGGGAACGTACGTGTTTTCTAGAAGTGTCACAACTTCCAGACTGACAAAAGCATCTGATGGAGGTAATAAGCATGGTGGAAAAAGCCACTGCCACTTTCTGGTATAATCTCAAAGCTGAATTATGATAGGAACCTCTCATCCACCATTTCCCGCTTTTCATTTGCGTCCATATTCATAATCTGAATCCTTGCCCGCAAAAGAAAAAAATAATTTTTTTCAGCAAAACATTGAAGTTGTTTAAATAGACTTGAATTTAAGTGAATTAAAGTGTATCCATCATATAATGGAAAATTGTGAAGTGGATTTTATAAAGGATAGGTAAATTTGTATATGTGGTGGTGGTTGTTTAGTCTCTTAAGTCCTATCTGACTCTTTTGCGACCCTATGGACTGCAGCCTGCCCGCCTCCTCTGTCCATGGAGTTCTCCAGGCAGAAATAGGGGAGTGGGTTGCCATGCCCTTCTCTAGCAGATCTTACCCCCCAGCGATCGAAACTACCTCTCTTGCATTGGCAGGAGGGTTCTTTAAAACTAGCACCACTTGGGAAGCCCAAAGTTGTGTATAGTGACATGGGAAAATGTTTTTGATCTATTTTAAAGGAAAAACTATGAACTGTATTTTTACAGGTAATATATATGTTCCTCTGAGGTTCAACTACTGAGTCCCATGCTCTGCAACCAGAGAAGCCGTGCAACAGTCAGAGCAACTAGAGAAAGCCGCAAGCAGCAACAAAGACCCAGTGCAGTCAAAATTAAATAAATAATAAGGTGTTTTTTTTTAAATAAGTATATATATTGTGATGGAGAAGGCAATGGCAACCCACTCCAGTACTCTTGCCTGGAAAATCCTGTAGATATACCACTCTGTATTTACTGAGACTTATTGGGTTGTCCACATGGAATTGGTGAATTTTATGATATGTAAAACCTACCTTAGTAAAGCTGTTCTTTAAACATCTGTATATTCACATATTTCTACTGATTTTGACTGAAAGGCTGAAGCATTGACAAGCAAAAAGAAAGAAAATAAATATGTAAAAAGATCAGGAAGCTGTTAAAAGTGACATTTGGGGGACTGTGTAATTATGTCAACTGAAAAAAAAGTGCACAACATAAGAGCAGTGATGTAAGTTTATTGGGGGCAAAGTGAGGACTATAGCCCAGAGACAGCCTCTCAGAGAGTTCTGAGGATCTGCTCCAAAGAGGTTAAGCGGGGGATGTCAGTGTATACTGTGATTTCGGTGAATTGAGAGACGTGAAGTCAAGCACCTATTTTGGCAGGAGGTTGCTGCTGTTCACTGTAAGGTAGCTGCTAGTCAGGAGGAGCAGATGCTTCTGTTAACGATTTTAGTGCTTTCCTGGCCATGAGAAGATGGAAGAATTTCGGCTTATAAAATCTTCTCCTGAAAATCGCTGACTACCTGGAGGCCAGCTCTGTCTGTTGTTTCCAGAGCCCACAGTGCTTCATTCTCACCCTGAACTCCCTGAAGGGGATGTTGAAGGTCAAAGACTGCAGTGGCTAGTGACTTCATTCTTGCAGTACCACATGACGAGCGACACTTTTTAGTTGCCAATTATAAGGCACTTGCATTTTGTGTATTATGCACTTCTGTATGGTTTTAATTTTTATAGGAAGGATACATAACTTATTTTCCCCCCAGTTTTATTGAAATATAGCTACAACATTGTATTAGTTTGAGGTATACAGAATAATGAGTATGTATAATAGATACATAACTTTTATAATCAGTAAAGATATATGTACATTAAAAATTATTGTATTTCTCAGTTAAGACAATGAAATAAAGCTTTCTCATAGACTCTGTTTCCACCAATACCCAAGAAAGTTTTAAAAGTTAAAATTTCATCCACAGCAAGCAAAGAGTAACAGCTTAATATCTTAAATGTCAACAAGTGGCAGTCAAGGAAAGGTATAGAAGACTCTGGTCTTCTATTGATGGAGCATTCCATCAATACTCATACTGTTAAAACTCAAAATCCTAGAAATTAACACATATATGTGCACATATATCCTGAGAGAAAAGTAAGTGGCTTCCTTATCTTGTATCTCTTCTCTCTGGAGATGTGAAGATGGCTGCTGGGGAGAAGGTGGAGTGAGAAGTGAAGAATAGACTGTCTTTAGGTAGCAGTGAAAACTCCAGGGAAGCCTAGTGAGTTAGGGGAGGCTCTTTCCCATAGTAGAGTGAATTCTGAAATAGACCCTTGAAACCTCAGAAGTGATTGCAGAATATTTGTATTCTAACAAAGACTGCATCCTCCCTCCCCTGAGTTCTGCCCCCTCCTCTCCTTCAAACCAGCTTATAAGTCATAGAAAAAGTGTATACAGCATAAAATAACAGCCTCAAGTTGCTGTTCCTTAGGAAAATCAAACCAGTTTCAGATCAAGTAGGAAGGAATTCAGAAGGTAAATAGAGAATCAGAAAAAATCACCCCAAGTGCTTTGAGCACTAAAATAATCTAAGAAGAAAATAAACTCAGTAGGCAAAACTAAAAAATGAGACAATAAAACAACTGAAAGAGATGGACAGTGAAACTGCACATCTGATAAAGCAGGGACCAAAACAGTGTCATTAAAGAACTAATAAATACATTAAAACAGCAAGGAACAGAATAGACATGGCTGGAAGTTGAATTATTGATGTGGAAAATGGCTTGAAATAATTACAATAAAGGCAAATGGAAAAACACCAAGAGATTAAGACAATCAGAGAGAAGCTACTAGATATGGAAGACAGAAGTTGTTGGTGTCTTCAGAGTTAAGAACTCTTAATGGAATAAGAAGTATTAAAAAATATAAGAACAGAAGTTCCTCTAAGATGATAAGTTAGTCTGTAGCTTGAAAGGCCAAATATTTGATACATAATATTTAACCCTGAGATGTATTTGAGTTATTTTATTGAAATTCAGACATCCAGGCAGAAAAAAAGGCAAATCATCTCTAAGAAAAAAAGTCAGACTGTCCTCAGATATCTCAGCAGCAACATTCAGAGACAGAAGACAGTGAAGCATTGTCTATGGGTTCTGAAAGGAAAAATCTGTGACCTAAGAATTGTAAACCTAGTCAAGATGTCATTCAAAAGTAAAGGCACTGGGCAGTTCCCACAAATATAAAAGAACTTATAGAAAAGAGAAATACTTAAAGTGAAATTCAGGCAGTTAAGAAATAGGGCAAAATTAAGATTTTTAAGAATTGAGGATCAACAATTTTAATTTAAAACATGTTTTTCGAAAACAACAGAATAACAATATCAAAACCACTTTTTCTAACCTTAAACTGATATTTTAAGAAATGATAGCTCTTGTAGTGCATAAACCCTTATTTGATGTCTAGCTTTTCTTCTAGTTTTTTAAAATTCTGTTAAATTCAACTAAGTTTGAATTTAACACATGTTAATCTTTAAATATGGACTTCCCTGGTGGTTCAGACGGTAAAGCATCTGCCTGCTAAGAAATTTTTAAATAGCACATAAATTATGATGCCATTTTTAAAAATTAGATATATCATTTACATTCCTGTTTATCTATCATTCTATCTGTAATAAAGCATGCAAAGATATTTAGAATGAAGTTAGCCAAATGTTAATAGTGGTTATTTTAGATGGTGAGTTTTGAGGGATTTAAAATATTTTTCCTTTGTGTGTATGTGTTTGGCATTGCTTAAATTCTTTATCATGAAAATGTATTTTTTTATAAGAACAACAGCATAATTTTTCTTAAAACAAAGCAAACTGAAAAAATTTCAACACTCTTCCTAGTCTTCAGGGTATGGTTGATTCTTTTGCTTTCAAAAAACAAAAAACCCAAACTATCTTTCCAAACCCATCTCCTTCTAATCATGAATTAACTGGTCTGATCTACTAGAGATATTGCCGAAAATCCTCTTTCTGCTCCTTCTCCAACATCATTTATACCATCTTGAATGGGCTCATCATCCTTATTCCAGGCAAATACAGTCCATCCCACAAAGCTCAACCTCTCCTCTGTCTCTTCCATTGATGTCTTCAGAGTTTATTCCCTGCCCAAGCATTTTTTAACCAAATAGTTCAAAGTATCAATGTAGAGAAGTACCAGCAGGGTTCTTACTTCCTTTGGATTTGGTTTTAAGAAGAACCATTTAGTATGAGACAAAGTTCTTTCAATTTAAGTCAATTCCAGATTGTTATTCTAATAAGTAGCTCCTAATGCTTATTAATATTATAATAGGAAGTGAGAGCTTGCAAAGTCTGAATTCCCATGTAGCTTCAAAGAATACTGAAAGTTAACAAGATACATATACATTCCCTGATTAGGCAGGGAACAATGAGATATTGGAGAAGTATTTGCACACTCGTAAGTTTCAGTTCTCTTTTTTTGCAGACGAGAAATGAAAACACTTTTTATAGATTGTTAAAATTTGGTAAAGATGCTTGCTATTAAAAAACATGATTATTGATGA